TTCTTAGAAAAGGGATTGTCCAGGGCAGGCAGTGATGTCTGTTAGGGTGAAACCATAGAGTGAAAGTGTTCGTTAGTCAGTCACATCTCTCAGGAATTCACACAGGACTGGCTGCTGCTATTTATGATGCAAGTTCTTGGGGATTTAATTCTGAACTGGGAAATGCCATCTCCCTCACAAAAATACACCTCCCATCTGTCTCATCTTAAAGACTCATCCATCTCAGCTGTTTTTCAGTTTAAAATACCACTGTATGAAAATTCACTATCAGGAGAAACTAACTATTGCAAAGTGGTTTGTTCCAATATTAGCAATACACATTCAATACGACTTTAGTATCTGCAACAGCATAAGTTTAAGAAGGTTTGAAAATGTGAAAGCTTCTGTAAGTGTTCAGACTGTAAGAGCTTACTGAAGTTTTATCTATGTTAAGACACCTTCTGCTGGTCACCTGTTTCTGCTTTTAGTTGAATGATGAAAAATCCACCTCCCTCGTTTCTCTGAGTAGCAGCCTGGTCTTACTAAATTGTGAAAAAAGGGGACCAGTCCCCATGTACTCACAGCCTCCGTGCTGATGTGTGCGAAGGATGGCACATTGAAAAGCCCTTGGATGAGCTCCGGGGGTGTGCTGACTCCCAGCCACAGGAACATACTCAGACCGTTGGCCAGAAGGAAGGCCCCTCCTTCCGAGAGACGTTCCTCAGAGCAGCGGACGGCAGCTGGGGTGGCATCGCTCTTCAGATCCAGGCTGTGCTGTGGGGCAAAGATAGACAAGAGCTGTAGACTTGGTGACAGGGAGGTGACTACAGAGCTAATTAGACACTGAAAAGTAAGTACTGAAGTAAACAGTAACTATTAAAAGTAACTGTTGAAGGGTTAGTACATGGTAGGGGTTCCTTTCCAGATGAATTAGAAATCAAACCTCTTCTGTTTCAGTTACCGCACTGTGTGCCAAGGAAGACCTGCCGTAAGCGGGGAGACGCTTGCGCACCAGTGTTGAGCTTTAGTAAAGCTGGGCTCTGTCATCAGCCGGGGCAAAAACCTTGTTAAGTACAGTGAGGTTCTTAATGTGACTTCCCATTTTCCACTGAACTTGAGGAGGGAGGGTAGAACCTCTATTTAGTTCAGCTAGTAACCACATCACGTTAAAATGTAATCCAGCGTGAAGTGTAGCACTTGGCCGGCAGGCGCGATCCTTTCTCTATCTGCACAATTACAAAATCACAGCCTACTGAGGACAGTTTTACTGAAGATGAAAAGGTGTGCGCACACCATACTCACAATTGGCAGAAGCTGGGGGTAGAAAAACAACTGCGTGTCGGCTACCCCCATAGACATGACGAGCTGTCGATGGTAAGCTCGCTCATCGGTTGGAATTTCCGGTCTGCCAACCAGCACGCAGCTCTTCAGCAGGCAGTTCATGTACACCGGCAGCACCTTCATCGCATCCGGAAGGATGAGCTGAGCGGCAGAGAACGCTTGTTAGTTAATATATCCCACATTTAAATAAACCATGGCTGGTTTTCTTTGACTAAAGAGAAAAACAACAACCTAGAAAACTTTCTTATATGTGCTGTGACAGCACCAAATGGTTGATACATTTAATAAGAATGCAACAGAAATAATTTGTCCTACAGACTGTAGTCGCCTCCTTGGATGCTGTCCTCTCCCTGTAACCCTTGCTCATTTTTAGGTACTAAATCAAAGGGCAGTGGCATGGGAAAAGTGGGCGCATTTTCTCGGTACACTTTAGGAGGGAAATGAAGGTCCACCCCAAGTGTCCCCTTGCTGTTGTTTCCAACGTATTTGGCCCTCACCAACATTAAACAATTCACTGCCCAGGCTTTTGGTTATTGGAAGCATTGCAAGGTGTGCAAAAGCCTTGGTCCTTCTCCAAGCTGAAGCGCCAGGACGCAAGGGTAAATAACTTAAAAGGAAACAACTGTTGCTTTTACTGGAGCATTGAATTTTAAGTAAGTCAGTCCTATAATTAGGATGTGCTAACAATTCTAATCTAGACATTACGTTCAAGAAGACCATGACATAATTGGAAAATGCAGTTTAAAGAAGATCAAAGGAACTAATTAAATCAAATGCCTCCAACACTGTCAGAGTCCTTTGGCCTTCCCATTAACTTCAGCATTAATGTACAAAATTGCCAACTGTCATTCAAAAAAGTGT